AAAATTAAAGTTTATAAGACTCAAAGAATTAATTCTGGTCAATTTTAGAATGACTTGAACACAAAATTTTACCACGAAATGAAAAAATAATAGATCTTAAAACATTTTGACATTATAAAACAAAATGCAGAATCCCGAGTCACAAGAAAAAAATGGCTCATCTAATGAAACTACGAATAAAAAACAAGGTGACTACATTTTGAAGAAACCTTTTTTTGATATAAAATCAGTGTTTTAGAAAGAAGAAAACGAAGAAATACCTATCGAGATCTAAATTGATTCCAAGCCTTCAAAATTTCAAAAAATTAAATTAATTCAGGCTAGTCAAGGGTTATGATATTCATACACAATGACGAACTTAGACATCAAAGTTAACGGATCCGGAAATGTCGACCAAAGTTGATCAGTGTTCGCTCGCCAACAAGGACTATGGTCGACTAAACTCAACCAGAATAAGCCCGATATGACAAAAGTTGATAGACTCAACCAAAGTTCAATCCATACGGTAAATACAGTTCACCGTCTCAGCTGAGTAGTGTTACTGATTTATTTCTCATAACTTACAGGAACCGTTTTAAAACCTTTCTTTTCAGACGGTAGTGTTATGATATGTTTTACAGCAAATTATTATTCCGAGTTTTGCTATCAATAAACTTCCAGTGAATCTTTTAATAAGAGTTGTTTTGTTGACAATTTTTAATTATAAAAAACAAATTCAATTATATACTGGTAGATCTACTGGTAGCTTTTTTCATTCAATTTAAGCTTAAAATGAAACATTTACAGCACATGTCTTAATTTAATCTTATTTGAAATCTCAAATGTTTAGCAAGTAATCTAGAAATCATTATGTTAAGTTCATGAAACAAACTTGACATTTTTTTGGTTCTTCTAGAAGAGTTCATGTCTGAAATTAGTTCCAATCAATCTTTTGTGGTTAATTCATGTTCTTCTATAGTCATCTTCTCTAGTCTTAGTTTGTCCTCCAGTCAGCCGACTCGAATCATTCTCATCTCACTGGATTCACTTTTGTATATGAAATTTTCAACAAAATTCTTCTAAACAATTGAACCCTTTACTTATCATTCTTTTGCCAATTTGGATTACACCTTTGACTCAAATTAGTTGTCCAAAACATGCTGCTCTGTTTTATGAACTACAAGGTTATCTTGTCTGTATTATTCCCCTGATATATTGCTCCGTTGAAAGTTTTATCGATCCGCACAGTTTTGTACCTTGATTTGCAAATCATTAGCTTGAAAAAGAGACAGGTATTTCTGCAAAATTAGGTCACTACAGTTTTTTGCACAACTTTTCAGCGTTTTGGCAAAGCCTTCACTCAGAGTAGCGACAAAAGACTACGAAAAAAGGGTCCAAAATTTTATAATATATATTGATTTAGCTACGTTTTCTTTATCTTGCCATTGTCAAGCAGACCGAAAGCCAGACTGACTCAGATAGACACGCGTGTACTTTTTAGTTTCAAATTATAGCAGTGCTTTAACCATTATCAGTAAAGTGAAATATAACATATGTTTTTAACATGTTTTCTTGTCGTGTTTGAAAGAAACGTGTTTTTTTTTTCGACGCCATTTTTGAAAGTTTTGTGCATTATATGAAAAACTAGTAAAAAAAACTGAAAAACAAGTGCATTATTTGAATCACTTGTGGAATATTGTTACAAGAGCTCTCAACCAAAGATAGAAGATTATGTTTTTGCTCTTTCACACAAGTGTTTTCACGACAAGGCATGAATAAAAAATGAAATATTAGAACGCATGAACGAAAAAACAAATCATTTTCATAGTTTGGCGCACTTTTCCGGCTCTTTTTTTTTGAAAGAAGCCCAATTCAAATAATTATAAGAACAAAATCAAACAAAAAGAGCAACAACATACTTTTCAACAGTTAGAACATAGTTGAAGATTGCCTCGGGCAAAAAAGCCCGGCCTTGGGCTCACAAAAAGCCCGGCCTTGGGCACTTTTGTTCTCGTGCATTTCTCAATTATGTTCTAACTACTACTTAGAGAGATAAAAACACGTAACAGCATTAAAACTTTTCCAAATGAGTGTTTTTTTTTGTTTTTTTTTTGCATGTACTTCATACCAGATAAATGGCAGCTTAAATTAGACCTTGTAAATGGTTGAAATCTTGAGACCACGTATCTCGATTGACCACCGATTTTTTTTGTTTGAACTCATAGCTGCTCTTTTAAATAAAACTTATTTCCGAGCTTTATTTGAACAATCAAGCCTTTGAAACTGATGGAAAAAACTACGTGTTGGCCAGATTGTTTTACACTAGTGGACAAAAAAAAGCGCAAAATCGAGATTCTACTGTGTAGAATGCCAGTTTTCAATTTGAATTTCGAACAACATTCTATTCGAAACTCAGTAAAATTTTTAAATGACCGAGAGCAAATGTTCAGAGCCACCATCAGTGAAAGAATTAATATTTGATTCAATGACTTACTAATGTAATCCAAGTCCAAAAACTCCAGTTTTCCTCATCTGAAAAAAAAAATTTTACTGAAAAAGTAACAAACATCTGAGCTTAGTAAAAATTTCACACTGATTGTTTCCATTTTCTCGCTGAGAGTGTTTCAAGCTGCATGAAGATATTATTTACTCCGCTTATTCAAGAAAGATTTCACTACGATGCAAAACTTAGTAAAGATGAGGAAAACTGGCAACTTCGGACTTGGATTACATTGGTAAGTCAGAGAAACCAAATTTTGATATTTTCACTTATGGTAGCTCTGATCGTTTGCTATCGGACAATGTAAAAATTTTACTGAAAGTCGAAAAAAAAATGTTGTCCAAAATTTACATTGAAAACAGGTATTTTAATTTAGACTTTGCGCTTATTTTTGACCTCTAGTGTACAACAGATAACAACAATTTATTGGTTTCAATGACTTATCAAAGTAATACTGGTTTTAAAAGGCCAGTTTTACTTATCTGTACTAAAGCCAATCAGGGTTGTTTTCATTCGACAGTGTCGGCATATGAGGATATCAGGGTCAATTTAGGTCGACTCAGTCGACACATGAGCTAATCATGCTCAAACAGAGTCAACAAAATCGACATATATGCCAATAAGGGTCAATCAATGTCGACAGGGTCGACACATGGGTATGTCAGGGTCCATTTCAGTCGACAGAACCGACACCTGAGCATATCAGGGTCGAATTCATTCATCAGAGTTGACACATGAGCTTATCAGGGTCGATTTTAGTCGACAGAGTCAAAACATGGGCATATCAGCGTCGATATCAGTCGACAGAGTTCACACATGAGCATATCAGATTCAATCACAGTCGACAGAGCCAACACATGAGCCGATAAGGGTCAATCAATGTCAACACAGTCGTTACATGAGGCAATCTTGATCAAACGCAGACGACAATTTTGACGCACGTGTCAATCAGGGTCAATCACAGTCGAGAGAGTCGACTCATTAGCCAGTCGGGGTAAATTTCTTGCGACAGATTCGACACACGAGCACATCAGGGTCAATTTAAGTCGACAGATTCGACACATGGGTTTATCAGGGTCAATTTCATTTGACAGTGTTGACTCATGGGCATATCAGGGTAGATTTTTTTCGACAGAATCGACACATGAGTTTATCAGTGTCGATTTCAATCGACAGTGTCGACACATGAGCATATCATGGTCGATTTCTTTCAACAGAGTCGACACATGGGTTTATCAGGGTCGATTTCATTCGACAGTGTCGACACATGAGTATATCAGGGTGGATTTTTTTCGACGGAGTCGACACATGGGTTTATCAGGGTCAATTTTATTCGACAGTATCGACACATGAGCACATCGGGGTCAATTTCATTCGACAGATTCGACACATGGGTTTATCAGGGTCGATTTCATTCGATAGTGTCGACACATGAGCATATCAGGGAGGATTTCTTTCGACAGAGTCGACATATGAGTTTATCAGTGTCGATTTCATTCGACAGTGTCGACACATGAGCATATCATCTTCAATTTCTTTCAACAGAGTCGACACATGGGTTTATCAGGGTCAATTTCATTCGACAGTGTCGACACATGAGTATATCAGGGTGGATTTCTTTCGACAGAGTGGCCACATGGGTTTATCAGGGTCGATTTCATTCGACAGAGTCGACACATGGGTATATCAGGGTCAATCAATATCGACAGAGTCGACATAAGAGTTGATGAGGGTCAATCAATACATTTCGACAGAACGACAGACTCTTGAGTCAGCTGGTGTCTAACTTGTTGCTTTCTTTTACACGAAAATTAAAGTTTATAAGACTCAAAGAATTAATTCTGGTCAATTTTAGAATGACTTGAACACAAAATTTTACCACGAAATGAAAAAATAATAGATCTTAAAACATTTTGACATTATAAAACAAAATGCAGAATCCCGAGTCACTAGAAAAAAATGGCTCATCTAATGAAACTACGAATAAAAAACAAGGTGACTACATTTTGAAGAAACCTTTTTTTGATATAAAATCAGTGTTTTAGAAAGAAGAAAACGAAGAAATTCCAAGCCTTCAAAATTTCAAAAAATTAAATTAATTCAGGCTAGTCAAGGGTTATGATATTCATACACTATGACGAACTTAGACATCAAAGTTAACGAGATCCGGAAATGTCGACCAAAGTTGATCAGTGTTCGCTCGCCAACAAGGACTATGGTCGACTAAACTCAACCAGAATAAGCCCCATATGACAAAAGTTGATAGACTCAGCCAAAGTTCAATCCATACGGTAAATACAGTTCACTGTCTCAGCTGAGTAGTGTTACTGATTTATTTCTCATAACTTACAGGAACCGTTTTAAAACCTTTCTTTTCAGACGGTAGTGTTATGATATGTTTTACAGCAAATTAATATGCCGAGTTTTGCTATCAATAAACTTCCAGTGAATCTTTTAATAAGAGTTGTTTTGTTGACAATATTTAATTATAAAAAACAAATTCAATTATATACTGGTAGGATCTACTGGTAGCTTTTCTCATTCATTTTAAGCTCAAAATGAAACATTTACAGCACATGTCTTAATTTAATCTTATTTGAAATCTCAAATGGTTAGCAAGTAATCTAGAAATCTATATGTTAAGTTCATGATACAAACTTGACATTTTTTTGGTTCTTCTAGAAGAGTTCATGTCTGAAATTAGTTCCAATCAATCTTTTGTGGTTAATTCATGTTCTTCTATAGTGATCTTCTCTAGTCTTAGTTTGTCCTCCAGTCAGCCGACTCGAATCATTCTCATCTCACTGGATGAAAGCAATATCCATTCACTAGAACCACCATCAATATATCGCATATGTTGATTGAGTGGTGCTTCTGAAGTGACCAGTCTACCATTCAGATAAACATTAGAACAAGATCTATACCACCAACCACCTCCTTCCCCAAACCGTGCAGCACAGTTGCCACTATGTTCGTCTTGATCTCTGTCAGTCGTTGTGAAAGCCATTCCGTTGTGCCAATCAAGGCCAGAACCAGTACCACTGGTGTTGTACATATTCTCACTTTTTGCCACCATTGTGCCAAAAGATATATTGTAAAAGGGAGCGGGTTGGATCTTGAAGTCTAAAACAGAGCAAATTCATCCTCTTCGAATTACGCTTAAAATATGTTCAACCGAAAGAACACAGATGATTTTTGTTGAAAGACAGCAAATTAAGATCGCTTGTATCAGGCGATACCCTAACAGTTCTGACCGGCTTTTATCTGCATAACTCATGTTTTTGTTATATTTTTGAATGTCAAGAACGAAATGACATAATTCTCATTCAGTAACAAAGTATTTGTAGCAATTACATTGTCGTATTTCCTTTGTTTGCTTTTCGAACTGAAAAATAGTTCAAAGTCATAAACAGTATCAAACTTTTGAAACTCAATAAAATTTTCAAAGATGAACTTTATAAGGAAAATAATTTCTAATTAATCAGGCATTGATTAAGGCTTAAATAATCATGCCATACAAAAAAAAAAACGTTTTCAGCGTTTTGAAAAAATTGATTTCAGAGAAATGGAAAAAAAATTACTGTATTCAGGACTAAGTTCTGCGCACAAAGTTTTTTGGAAATCTTTAATGCAGTACTATAGTTTTTTGCTAGTGAAAAATAATCAAATAATTTCGGGGAATTTTCGAAACTCAAGTTTTTAAAAAATTTAATAACAACATTTTAGCAAAAGGTATCATGTTTGTTTGACTAGTATTTTCTATAGACTTAGTTCATGAAACTGTTTGACTAGCATTTTCGGTCTATGGTGTGCAAGCTGGGGTTAGCCAGTTTTGAAAAAATTTTTGCGCTTAAATCCAATTTTCTGACACATGTTGAAAAGAGATATTGCTTTAAACTCTAAGTAAGAAAGTTAACCTATTTACGAGTTTTTTAACCAAAACATCAGGGTTTCAAAACGGCTAGTATGATCAATTAGCGATTTTATTCTCATTAAAACTCAGTAAATGCAGCCAATTGTTTTTCCATATTTTAAATAAAATAGAAATTTGTTTAAAATTCGAGAAAATAAAATAACTTTTTTAATCACTCAATTTTCTACGCAAAAACTGGGCGTTTTGATAAAAGTTTTGTTTGGCCATTTGAAACTTATTGTTGTCTGGTGCCCAAATCTTGAAAAAAATGCACCTATGATAAGTGCTTGTGAATTATAGAGGATTTAAAAACTGATATACTGGACTACTTGGGATAATTATTGGAAGATATTTATTTTTGTGACATCCTATTGTAAATCAAAAAACTTTTCTCGATTATATACGAATATTTCATATTAATTTTTTCAAAGATGAGTCACAATTTTGAAGACTTCGATGAAAAATGACAGAATCCAAGAGGGTTTTCAACACGGATTTCAAGATAAAAAATTGATTCAATGCCAGAAAAGTATTTTTTTCCCAAAAAAATCGGTTCAAATAGATTTTTTGAAGTAGTGAAGTCTACCAAAAATTCAACTAAAAATAAATTAAATATGATTTTTGTTGAAATTTTATCAACATTTATTACGAAAAAAAAATCTCCATGAGAGCTTCAGAGAGCTAGAGCCACTTTTAAAAAGTGTAAATCTAGGGATTTCAGCAAAATGTAAAGTGAATTAAATCGCAGCTAATACGATGATCATTTTTTATCAACGTTCTGGGCGGAATTTTTTCATGCAAAGGAACAGATAGAAAAAAATCAAGTTTATGAGAAACTATTTTTGGTTCAGCAAATGTTTTTTTTCTATATACATGGGAGTTTCTGGAATTTTTTCAGATCAAACATCGCAAAATTCAATTGAAAAGTTTACGTTATATTTAAAACCAAAAAAATTGCCAAAAAATAAATAAACGATTTTAAAACCAAATAAAACTGGTTTTTATTTTTGTTTTTTGAATCAAACTAAATCAATTTTGAATTGATTCATAACAAACTTTTTTTAAGAATACATCTGAATAAAAAAGATTGTAATCCATTTCATAATCCATTTCTTAATTCAAGCCCTGTTTTTAACATTTTCATTATCTTGTTTAGACAGTTTTTTTAAATACTTTAAGTTGCACGGGGATCAAAATATCTAATTAAAAGTGCAAGTTAGTTTGACAATGCCGTTTTTTTTTATTGACAACAATATACGGGTGTTATCTTGATATGTTTTTCTCGTTCTTTTAATTTTTTAATTGAAAGCTGTGTAATGATGGCTGTTTATTTAGTTTACCTGACCATTCTCCCCAAAAAAGTGTACTGTCGGAGAAATTGCGCATCGAAACTCGAAGGTTCCATCTTCCTTTTTGCGTCAACCTGTGCATTCTGTTCAACCCCAGCCACATATCTCCTGCTCCGGAAAAGTCTCCAAAACCTGCTTCATACTCCTCAAAAGTGCGGTTGAATAAAATGTCAAATTGTTTCCGCCTCTGTAAAACTATCTCCTGTCCCAACTGAAATGCGGGTCAATTTAAAAATTACAATCCCTTTCAAGATGAGGATTAATTCTTTTGTAAAATAATTTAGCCATTTTTCGACCAATCAGATTGCAGGAAAAATTTTATTTATATGTAGAACGCTCTAGGGCTAAATTACTGCTGTTATTAATAGGGGCATCCTTTCAGTAGATATCATAGAGAATTACTGCTAAGTAGATCCTGAAGTGCTGCAATCAGTAAGACAATGAAATTCCTCTCATTGCTTTCATGAGTACTTTTTGTTTTACTGCCCAAAATTATCAGAATGTTTGATATGTAATTTTCTGTTTAAGAATCAGTTTCAATTTCAGTTGAGTGATAACTAAATTTCAGCCAATCAGATTAAAAACCTCGACTTTTATCGACAAATTACTAAAAACAACAACTTCAGCCGTATAACAAAAAGGACGCTTTCCGCTTTTTATTAGATACTAGACAAAACTCTAACATTTTGTACTGATGAACAAACTAAAATTCTGACTTTAATATCTGAACAAGCAGCCTCAAATCTCATTCTCTTGAATTATGTAAGTAGTTTTAGTTTTAAAAACTTTTTGATGTCAAAAAGGGACTCATTACTGAAATAAAAACATAGGATGCAGCAGTTAGCTTTCTATGGTTCTATGGTTACAAAAATGGATTGATTTTGCTAAAAAAGCAGGGTGAATCTCCAGAGCGTTGAGCCTTCTCAAAAACTACAACAAAGCGTTTTAAACTACCATAAAAGCTGGGATTGTTCTGATATCAATTTCTAAACTCATAGAAACTCAAAAAGTTGTTAAATTGAGCCCTCAAAGTTAAAATTTTAGCCCACTAAAATTGACGTTTTAGATAAAAACTTTTAATTCTTGGCAAATTTTTTGCAGAAATAAACATACCCAACCTAAGCTTTTGTGTTCAAAACTCCAAAACCAAGTGATCATACCATGATTTTAGTTCTCGAAAATCTTAGTTTCAGCACCAGAGACTTAAGTTTCTGCAATCCAAATTGGAATTTTGAAGTTATAGTTTTTTTAGAAGTCTTTTTTTTACACTAGACCAATTTTTTTTTTTAATTCCAGAGTTTGAGACAGTTTAAGGTTTTTTGGTTTCAGAATTCAAAAAACTTAGTTTTGACTGATTCTACAATCGAATAGATTTTCGAACTACTTCTTATGAAATTCCTTTTTTCAAAAAGCTCGAAATATCTTTTTAAGTTCAAAAATATATATTAGTTTTAAGAACTGAGTAATTTTTTTAGCTAGTTTCTAGCCTCAAAAAGAAAAAAACATAGGGTGTTTTCTTTAGGAACGTAATTTATTTTTCATCTACATGACGAAAATTCCTAGTTAATCTCAGGCGAAATGTACCCTCTACTCTAACGGTTATCTTAGACGGTTTTCTAATTGACATTAGCTCATGAACTTAACCATTAATTTATAATAAGTTTCAAAATAAATTGTGAAAGAATCGTTTTCTGATTAAATCCGCTTAGCAGGACATACGTTTTTGTTCAGTAATCCACTAGTTTCATGCCAAAACTTCAGATTAAATTTAATATCTTTAATTGTGGCTAAACCCTTCTTCATTCAAAAACTTTCTATATATATTCAATCTTTTTTCAAGGGGTTTAAACGGTTACATATGCTATCTAATAAAATCCTTAAATGTACAAAAAATTTATTCTTTAACACATAAATAACCAACGATTCGCTTTTTTGCGTGTATATATCCAAGCATCTACCCCAAATCTTTAATTTTTCTCGTGACTCATCCTCATTTTTTCTAAACCTATTCTGTCTCAAACCATCCAAACTTAAACTTAACTTAATTCAATCATTGGTAAAGGTACTGTTTAAGGAAACTAGGGGAAGAAATAACAAAACCTAAGAGGAAGCAACAGAATAGGGAGTGTTCTTTTCTATCATTAGTTTTTTGTGACAATTTTGTTTATACAACGTTTGAACCATAAAAAAACGCACTAACACCATGTTTGAACGTCAACCATCTAGCATTAAACAACACGTTTCAGTGAACTAGCACAACCCAAATCAGCATACTGCAAGCCAAAAACCTTGTCCTTACCGGTAATTTTTTGTTAGTTTCAGGTTTCAGAAGAAAAAAAATTACCTTCTGGTCTCAAAATTTAGCTCCAAATGAATAATTTTGACTTTTAAGAGAAAAGTAACGGTGTCAACACACGCCGGGAAAAAAATAAGATTTTGGCTCTTAAGGCTGAAATGTATGTTTCAGAATTAGTGTTTTTGATATCAGGCACAAAAACCCTGCTTCCAAGTCAAAACTTGGAGAAGTTTAGGAAGAAAATAGGAATCCTTATTCACTAACCAATTTTTAAACTCACAAAACTTCCAGCGGTTGTTAGTTTGAGCCTTCAATTTTATAGTTTTAGTCCACTAAAAATGACATTTCAGTCTAAATTTTTAATTTCCGGCAATTTTATTGCTGAAATATACATTATTAAAAGTCCCAGCCTAGGTTTTTTTCAAAAATCTAAAACCAATAGATAATACTATAATTTCAATTCTAGAAAGGATGAGTTTTTGCACCAAAAATTCGAATTTCTGCAACCAAAGTTAGAATTTTGATTTTATAAATTAGTTCCGTAGTCCTAATTACACTAGACCAGCTATCAAAATCAACTTTTTTATTTTTATTTCAGAGTTTGGGAGAGTTGAAGTTCTTTTGATTTCAGATTTCGAAAATTAAATTTAAGATATCCAAATTTAGTTTTTGCACCGCCCATGCATTAAAAAGCATTAAAAAATTATATTAAAGCTTTTGGGTACATTGAAACATCAAGAAACCCAACCTCTACAGCAATAGTTTTAGGTTTCAGATAGGTTTCAGTCTCGTAAAACAATTCTTTGATGAAAAAAACTAAAGCTTTGAGCCAATAATAATCTCAAAATTATGTAACTATGTGTTTAATCATAAAAAGCATCAAATAGGTATTAGCTAACCGTTTCAGGACCCGAAAAGTAAAAAATCAGAAAAAACACAAAAAAACTTCTCAAATTACTTTTTTTGCAACTCATTCTTGATAAATTTTGATATGAACCAATTTTAACAAACTTTCAGTACCCAAATTTACCTAATCAAATAATTAATTTTGCACAGGAACAAAAATTACCGTCACATTTTAATGTCAACACATCCCTAGACCACATTCAAGAGAAAAGACAGAGATGTTACTTTTTCTTGAACAAAACTTCCATGAACATTGCCATGTTCATTAATTTAGCTTAGGTAACTCGCATCAAAACTTAGATTGACTATATTTACCTTTGGTTGTTTTATACTTAGAATTATTAATCCTGATGTCTTCTTAATTTTACTTCCGATTTCTCTAATCATTGCTGCTTTGTATAGTTGGTCTAGTGAATGATTAAAATTTTCTTGTTGTGAAATGAAACTCTGGGTGGTCTAGTCAATACAGAGTTTGGTAATTGTGTTTTTGTTAGGCCTCCGTCAAATTTGTGTTGTGAATGTACATCTTTATACTGTTATAATTTTTCCCCTAGATCTTGTAGTTGATCTTGATTTTTATCAGAATAAGTGAAATCTAATTTTTTGAAAATTTTTTTGTTTGCTGTCAAAAGATTTTTTTATGGATTTCTTGAATTTTTTAAAGAAAAATTTTCTTTATAGCTTAACTCTGTTTTGGGTTGTAAGTCTCTTAAATCTTTGCTAACATCTCAAAATCTGGTTCTATCTTGTCTTAATTAGTATAATCTAGTTCTATTTGTTTCAAAGTGTTTCTTATAATCGTTTTTTATTAGTTGTACCAGTTGACTCACTTTTGAAAGTTGGTTGATTCTTAATTGTTTGGTGACATGAAACAAATGATCAAGATGTTCCTTTTTCTTGGACAAAACTTCCATAAAAACAATTTCATCTGCAACGATGTAGCTTGTTTTTGAATCAGTTTTCATGTGTTCAGACTTTTAGCCCATTGTACTTTTAGAAAAAATGAATTTCGATTCTTTAGGATTATTTAACACTATAGGCAGAATTTTTTCGTCATGATTACAGAATTTTTTATGCTTGTGTATTCATTTTTGCTTAAGTTCTTTATCATGTCTGAACAATGTTCCTTTTTTGAAACTGTTGTCCGCCGAGGAGCTGGAACTGACACGCGTTGATTTTTGTATTAGAATTATACACGTTTGTCCTTGTACAGTATCTACTATAATTGATAATCAAGGACGCTAATTTTATTTTTGTCTCCGACTGGATCTTGATAAAGATTAGTTTCCATTGTGAAGTTTTATCTTGTGGAGACTGTTTTTGTTTGAAGTAAATTCTTTGCCTTCACCATCATTAAAACAATCATGAGTGTGAATAACACCAAATTGCACTTTAGGATTTCTTTCTCGGCTATTTTTCCTAGTAGATGTTTTCAAATCACCTAGGGAGCTTGTTTGGTTATTGTATGATGGGAATTCATTTTCTTGGGATCTGTGTTGGCACTGGTTTCTAAATTTGTCTTGTGAAAAAGATCTCTTGTTTTTTTCTTTTGGTCAAAAAATGACTTCTGTTCCTCTTTTGTTTATTTTTATTTGAATATTTATTAGACAAATTTTGACGATTGGGGTTGATTTGGTCAACTAATCAATTATCGAAATATCTATCTCTTGATCAAACACTTTGAGATCGAGATCAATCGAAAATATTTGTTCTTTTATTAAACTGTCAACGTCATAGGGACGAGCTCTGTTGCCGTAATTTCGCTAGTTATAGTTTTTTGAATCGATTGTTGAAATTTTTTTCTTCTTGATGCCTAGATCTCCTACTGTAGTTGTCTGAAAATGCTTCTCGATTTTGAGGTGGGTTTTGATTCTGATACTTGTGATCTCTGTATTTAAACCAAACACTGATAGTATGACCTTATCTACGACACCACGTTTGATATCGGGTGTAGTTTTGTTTATTTTTTAGGTTCAATTGGATTATTAGCTGCGTTTTTTATTTGATCT